GTTCCCCCGGGGAAGCTGAGCCCGGGTTACAGGGAGGCGGGAGCCCAGGCCTGCCCCTGACTCCCAGGCCAGTGCCCCTTTGGGGCCTGAGTGCTGCGGGGCCGGGTTTAGAGACCTCCTTGAGCGGGGAGGTCTCTCGGGGAGATGGGGCCGTGTTACCCGGGCGAGGGGTGGGGAGGGGCAGCAGTGAGCCCACAGACACATTCCCCTTTGGTGGCACAGTCTATCCCATGTTGGGGGTCTGTGGTAACACTTGGGACGGGCGGGAATGCCTGTGTAGTGTGCAAAGGAGGGGGAGACTGGATTTCCCTGTATCCCTGCGTGCCTGTTGACTGCCCTTCTTGCACTTCTGGGCACAGGGTCTGGCCAAGCCCTCTGCTGTCCCCCGACCTCGGAAGCAGCCTCTGGCTCCTGGCTTGAGGCCTGTGCCCAGCAATGGAGACATGATTGCTTAGGGCCACCTGCCCTCCAGGCTGAGCTTTCCCCCCAGGAGAGTCTCAGGCCCCGTGCTCAGCTAGGGAGGTGATGCTGAGCCTGCAGGGCAGCAAGAAAGGAGCTTCTAGACCCAGGAAGCTTTACCAAATGGGAAAAGCATTAGGCCCTAAGGCATCAGGAGCAGTCAGGATGGTGGAGACACCTGGGAGGGCATTTTTAAGTCTACGGCTTGGTCGGAAGGGAGGTGGTGAGCGAGCTGTTGGTGAGATGCACTGAGGCCCTGGAGGTGCAGGGTGTGGGTAATCAGTAACCCCTCTACACACTCCCGGAGGCCCAGGCCTGACCTGTGATGTACTAAGCAAGCACCGCCCCTGCCCCTTCTCTGATCCCAGATCTCAGAGGGGCTTGTCAGTACAGCCCCGGGCTGTGAAATGTGGGGGATTCCAGAAGACTCTAAAGAGAAAGGGGAGCCTCCTAGGAGCTCACAAATACCTGCACACCCCTTTCAGAGCCAAAAAACTAAACGGTGGATTCTGATGCCTTGGTTGCCATCTGGTCATCCGTTGCCTGGATACATGGACCAGCTACTTAGACAGGGCCAGCTCTGGAATAGAGACAGGGTTGGGTGGTGATGCAGATCTCCACTGTCCTCGCTGGCCTTCTGGAGCCCACGAGAGGAGAAGGACCAAGCCAGTTGGGTCCAGAGAGAACCCACACTTTTCAGGAGGGAGGAAAAGGTTGAGTTAAAGGAGCGCTGCAGTGCTTTTCCAGTTCTACCCTAAACCCGAAGGCCTAGCATAATAAGCCTGTGTGCCCCAGGAAGTCTCCTTTTAAAAATGTAGATGACATTCCCTTAATAAGAGTGGAATTTATTAAAGCGTCCCCTTGGCTCCTCTTGCTGATCCCCGAAGTAGACGTTTTTGTGCCCCTTTACCCATCAAGCTGGAGGAGATGAGTGCCCCAGGGCCACCTGGCTTCCAGTCTGTGGGCTGCCTCATAAAAGCTAAATTAACCTCCCTCGTGTTCTCTCCCCAGACCTTACTGATTTCACTGGTAATTAGCCCTCTACACGTTCCATCCTTGGTTAGTTGTACTTCAGGGGCCTAAATTCTGGAATCCCTTAAGCGATTTCACCTGGGTCATCTTAGGCTAGACCTGACCTTTGCTTCCTTCTGTTCTCTGAGGGTTCCACTCATGGCCTGAATTGTGCCAGTTTGGGCTGCCTTGAGGGCATTTTGCACAACAGGTAAATAGGCTGGGGCACGGGGTTTGCCATTTGTTCTTGGCCAAGTTACTACTACTTTGGAGACTGAGCTCTGTGGCTTGGGCTTCCTAGGCTGACAGAATAGAAAAGAAGGTGGAAATCTGAGCAATGTAGGCCTGGCACCTGGGAAGCAGAGGCTGCATGGGAGCAGCCCATGGGGAACCACTAGAGAGTGTGGGGTCCCCCCTAGGAGGTAGTGCCAGTGGTCATGGATGGTGGTGTGGCTAAGAATCGCCTGGAACGTGTTTTAAGTGTGGTTCCTTTGCCTGGACCCAGGGATGTGGACACGTGGACCCACCTTGAGAACCACACCAGTGCTTTCATTGACTGAGGGTGGGGGGTGGCGAAAGAGTGGCTCTAGGCCTCAGTTTTGTCTTCAGTACACAACGAGTCACAGTAGGGGCTTAATTTTCTTTTACTCCCCTATTAATGTAAGAGCCTAGTTTTGTTTGTTTGTTTTATGGAGGAGCGCCATCTGTAAGTCTTTGGGGGCAGCGGAGGTGGGGAGCGTTCTCTCTCCCAGCGATTTGCATTAAAGTTCAGGATTTTCTAAGAACCTATCAGTGCATGAGCCAGGGCCCCAGCTCCCAGTCTGTTCCTTTAGACCAACTGCCCTTTGACTGCATCACCAGAGCTGCCAGAGGAGGCTGGCTAAATTTCCCCAAAGGTTCAGGGCCCTCTCTTTTGTCATGTTAAAACAAAAATGTCCTTGAACCTGTTTTCTCTCTCCTAGGCTGGCAAAGCACACAGGCTAAGTGCAGAGGAGCGGGACCAGTTGCTGCCAAACCTGCGGGCGGTGGGGTGGAATGAGCTGGAAGGCCGGGATGCCATCTTTAAGCAGTTTCATTTCAAAGACTTCAATAGGGTATGCACCAGCGTGGGGCAGAGTTTTCTGAGACTGGGGCTAATTGAGTCACACTCCAGAACATGTTCCCTCCCTTAACACCCTGTTAGCCAGGACTCTCAGACACTACACTAATCCAGTTTACTTGGAAAAATGTCATCTTTGGGGACTAGAGAATGGGGAGGTGGGTCTTTGGCTCTCCGTACGTGGAATTTTTAGAAACAGTCCTTAGGGGAGACAGTCCAAGTAAGAAACAGGTGGATAACAGAAGACGTTTTCGTAGATAACCAGAA